CTTGCTCATAGGGGGTCATATGATTGTTGGGATTTTCTCTGTTTTCTTTGTATTATTGTAGGGTTTTTACCTTACACTATAAAGCGCCTTAAGGCAACTGTTGTTGTCATTTGGCGGTGTGTATAAATAAAACTGAACTTAATTGAATTTGCCAACTAGGCCTTCTTAGTAAAAGTAGTAAAACTGTGAAAAGTGTTACGCAAACTGAAAATGGAGACTGTTTACTGTCAAAATAAAAGCTGGGTCTTTTGAAAAATGCCATATGGTGCGCTACTGTTCGGTGGTTAGTTGGCAAGTGTTTGCTCGTCAGGGTCTTTCGTGTAAACTGTGGGAACCTCAGCGATCTGTTAGCAGCCAAAGCAATCACAGGGAGGTTTTTGGTGGAGGATCCTCTCGGCAACAGATTTCAGTCCGCAAACTCAACAAGCACTCACCAACTGGTTGAGGAGTACACATCTTTCCCTACTGACTGGAGGTTGCCGAGGAATCACCCATTGGTCTTTGGGGGTCATTTGAGGCACACAGTGCTGACGCCCCACTGGCCCGCTGATCTAAATCCTCTGTTTGTGGGGTGCAGTCAATTGGAAGAAAGCAGGCTTGTTTTGAACTTTAACTTCTTTCATAGCTACTCAAGAAAAATTAAGTGGAGCTGAAACTGAGCAGAATAGTTCTCCTTTCTACCAGGATGGTCAAATGTACAATAGTATTATAACTTTTCTGCCATCGGTGGGTTTTTAAAATCTATTTCCTGTTTTGTTTTTGTCCCTCCAGCTTTCACCATGATGATCATCTTGGCATTAATTCGCATCGGTAAAGACCACGGCGCGGGACACCCACCTGTCGCCTCCTTGTCTGGGGTCCCCAACCTGTTCGGGGTGTGCGTCTACTCCTTCATGTGCCAACACTCGCTGCCGTCCCTGGTGACGCCCATCTCTAACAAGAAGCGCGTCGGCTCGCTGGTGCTTTTCGACTACGTCCTCATCCTCGGATTCTACGTGCTCCTCTCGTTCACCGCCATCTTCTGCTTCGATAGCTCGCTGCTCTACGACATGTACACCCTGAACTTCACAGACAACTGCGACGTCTTGGACATCCCGGTGCTGCGCTACTTCCTCGGCTTGTTCCCCGTCTTCACCATCAGCACCAACTTCCCCATCATCGCCGTCACGCTTCGAAACAACTGGAAGACCCTGTTCCACCGAGACGGAGGTACCTACCCGTGGGTGGTGGACCGAGTGGTATTTCCCCTCATTACACTCGTGCCCCCCATCGTGGTGGCCTTCTGTACACACAACCTGGAATCCTTGGTGGGAATCACAGGATCCTATGCCGGTACAGGGATCCAGTACATTGTCCCAGCCTTCCTTGTCTTTTACGCCAGGCGCCACCTGGAGCCTGTGATGGGCAGAGATGCCATCAACAAGCACCGGTCACCCTTCCGCCACAGCTTCTGGGTGTGGTTCGTTTTGCTGTGGGCTGCCTTCTGCCTCATGTTTGTCACAGCCAACATCATCCTGACTGACACCAAGAAGTGAGAACTCGTGTTTCAGTTTGTGGTTCCCGTACAGGAAGCCTTATTGCTGCTGGTTGGGCAGTGTGCCTTTTTTTTGAACGTTTGTTGGGTCAATTAAATGTAATTAAGAGTAATTTATCAAATATTTTTTGAAAATTTAATTAAATTTTGTTTATATAGCGCCAAATCACAACA